TTTTTCAGGGAAAATTTGGTTTTCCAAAAGGGGGCGGCATTTTTGTATGGGGGGGGGGGCCTTTTCCCCGGCCCCCACCTTTTTGGAAAGTTTCCCCCGGAAATTTAAAAAAAAAAACCGGGTTTTTTTTTGTTTTTTGTATTTTCCAACCCACGGGCCCCGGGGTTCCCCGGGGTTCTTTACCCCCCCCCCCCCCCCCCCCCGCGCCAACGATTCCACATTGTTTTTTCGGCCCCCGACCTCCCAGCAACAACAAACAACAACCTGCAACAGCTGTAGGGTTTTGGTGATCGCTTCAGTGCAAGAGGAGGGGAGGGACAAGCTAGGAGTCCAACAGGTGTGGTTTGCCTCTAGGGGTGTGACGATACTATTTTCAGGGCTACAGCAGCAGGCAAGATGTCTCCGCTACCTGCGTGTTGAATTTTTAGTCTACTGTACGCATGTAGCAGCGGTTGTTGTATTATTAGTGTACACAAGGTTGCAACATGCGTAGGTTGGTCGATACATGCAGTTTGCCTGCGAAGTCGAGGTGCCTGATATGGACCCTGTGTACCGATTTCGTCGTTGGTCTTCGGCCTGGCTGTGTTGGTTTCCGAGTCATTTGGAAAATGTTGATGGCTCTTTACTCCGCTGCTGCTGTGATCCAATGATGGTGTGCAACATCGGAAATCGGAACATCCCCCGTTATGCTGAAAATGTGATTCCGCCGCGTTTATTCAACACTGCTGTGCATACCATCTCTTGCGAGCTTGCGAGCATGCACATACCCTGCTCGTTTTCTATGGCGTCGGTTCGTTCAAAGCCTCCAAAAACAATCACAGCAGGTGTTGGGGTGTGCGTATGACTCCGACGTGTCAAAAGATAGGTTTTCTGGGCAGTGTACAGTTTTGAAGTCAGGACCGACTGCTAATGCTAACGGGTGTACATTCTGTACCACAGATGGTCTGCATGGTGAGCTGCTGCGCTGCCCCAGCTCCCGAGTCGACGTAACACTGAACTTTTTGACAGGTTCTCTGAGAGATCGAAGACTATAAACAGACGTAGGCCCAAAACCCGAACCACAAATAATGGCAGGGCCGACACGAGCCTGCAATGGTCTCTTTCTCTGGCGGGGACGAAGCAGAGAGAAACGCGGACGTGCAGGCGGTGCAAAATTTTTCACCTTCGCATCTACTTTCACGACGCATGTGCAGACGTGAGCATGCCCGGACTACTCTCTGATCATTCAGGCAGCCAGCCCGCTGTGACAGGATTGGTGTTACAGCAGTTTGCGCCCACACTTAGCGGTTTAAGAAATTGATATCGAAAAACTCGGGAGTCTAAGAACTTGAGCCACCCTTGGTGAGAGCTCGTTAGAACCCGAAAAATGCCTAACGTAAGAGGCGGAGAGATGCCATCCCTCTACAGTAGACCGACTTTCAAAGCTCGATTACTCCACAAACAAGGGGGTGCGGGGAAAAAAGAGTCCGATAATTCTAGGGAAGGCCCTCAACGAGATGTTCCCAAACTCACCACTTTCGGGAATGGCACAATCGTGGTGGTGGAGCAATCGAGCTTGAAGATCGGTCTAGGGGAGGTGCCATCTCTCCGACTCTTGCGGAATACCACGTTACGGTATACGGTACGGTACAGAAAATCTTGGTCGTGGAGTAATCGAGCTTTGAAGGTCGGTCTTGGGGGGGTGCCATTTCTCCGCCTCTTACGGAATACCACGGCACGGTATACGGTAAGGTACAGACAATCTTGGTCGTGGAGTAATCGAGCTTTGAAGGTCGGTCTAGGGGGGGGTGCCATCTCTCCGCTTCTTACGGTACAGAGCGGCCATCCGAAGCGAAACACTAGATACTACTGGGAATCCCCGCCTCAGCCAAAACTTGAGGTTCTAAAGTGTGCAAACTGTGCATACTTTGGTAGGGTAGTTCAAATGATACTCAGTAGATTCCAAACACAACTTTCGTTCGCTTTTTTTTTGTCCCCGCGAATCACCGAGACATGATCTCATGGGTCAGTCGGTTCAGTGGCCCCTGGCTGCTCTAGGTCGATGCCTTGAGCAAGACAACTAAAGATAGACGTGGTTGAATCTCATCTCGCGCGTGCCGTCAGTACACTGGAGGGTGTGCTGCATACCGTAGGTGACGCAAGATATCACACCCCCTGGAACGACTTTGAGAGCTCGATTATTCCGCGACGAAGAGGATGCAGAAATGAAACGACAAGTTTTCGGAAAGATCTCGAAAAGACGGCTTCCAAGCCGACGTTTTCGGCGCTACCACTCTTTCTACAAGTGCCGTGGAGTAATCGATGTTTGAAAATGGGTCCCAGCGGAGGGTTCTAGGGTACCTGTTCTGTATTCTATTGGCTTGCGGATTCTTCGGGTCCATCTTATTTCAGTACGCCGTTGCAGGGTAAGTTGGCCTGTGACCATGGAAAATCGACCGCGTCAAGTGTTAGATCAGTACGGACAGGGAGAGGTGGTACTGGATAGAGAGATCGGAACGGTTTTTTATGTCAAGACAGCGACAGGGTGTGTGGCATCTTATGTCACCTGCGGTGGACGGCATGGCTTCGCGAGAGAAACACATGCACGGAGCTCGTCACCCTGGCAGGCACGCCCCATAGTAGCACGCGAGGGCTTAGGATTCCCTCCGTGGAAGCTAGTCGGTGGGGACCTGCTGTTCCCGCTACACCCCACAATCAAATCCATCTCCACACTTGGGCAGATTAAGTAAATTCTACCCCTTTGTGGCGGATCTCCACACTACGTATATACCTACCCCCCCCCGCGTCCCATCGATGATCGGTCCTGTGGGAGCAATGCTCCGTCCTCTCGAGGACGCGTGGTCAATGGTCTAACCGCTAAGGCATGCAAAACATAAGAGTACGCCCCCCTCGCCCGCGCGGCCCTCGGCAACATGACATGACAGCGGTCACCTGCGCTGTCCGCCCCGTCCCCTGCTGCGCTCTTCACCTCATGCTCTCTAGGACACCTGTACACGAAAACGCAATTCATCTCTCGGGAATATCACAGCAGACGTCGCTGCCATAGGCAAAGTGTGAAGTCCGACAACTACTTCCAGACGTGTGCGTTTTCGCAAGTGCTGTATACGGATACAGTATTATAAGTAAATCCGTTCGACATACTCTGTACACCGAAGTGTCAACATGCCGACTTTTTTGAAACCCAGTCAGAAGATGTCTCCTCGCTGCTGCTGCTGCTGCTGTGGTTATATCTCGTACGGGTAGGTAGTCTTTCCGCATGCGACACAAGATAACACACCCCCTGGACCATTTTTCAAAGCTCGATTACGCCACGCCGAAGAAGATGCCGAAGGCAAACGAAACATTTTCGAAAGCTCTCGACGAGGCGGCTTCAACGCCGCCGTTTTCGACGTTGCGGCTCTTTCTGCTGTTGAGAAAAATCGAGCTTTGAAAATCGGTCCACGGGGTGTGTTATCTTGTGTCGTATACGGTACTGTTTTCTGGTCTGATGGCATTGGTGATGTCACAGTGGATGTCCTTATTCTAACTTCGCCCCTCGTCCTTGTCCCCTCTACCCTCCTCGAACCAGGTCTGCTCGCGAGGACTCGGGGGGCGAAAGGGAGGTTTAGCTTCTTCGTTTTTCAACTGTTGTAATGGACGGGGTGGTTCGACGACCGGCTGGCCTGCGGCACGAGCATTACCAGCAGCAGCAGCAGCAGCAACAGCAGCAGCAGCAACAGCAGCAGCAACAGCAACAGCAGCAGCAGCAGCAGCAGCAACAGCAACAACAACAGCAACAGGTGGGGTTTTTACTCGCCAGCACGAGGGCGTGAGCGGAAGGATCTCCAAAAAATATTGTTCTGAAAACGCGCGATATCACACAAGCACTGGACAGCAGCAGGCAGCTGGTGGGGGTTTTACGCGCCGGCAGGGTGGATTGGCACAAGGAGCGGGGCAACCAGTTTATTTATCAACTAGCAGCAGTATGGATAGGACCAACAGCCCGAGATGGGACCGAAGAAGCCGTTCCGAAGTCGCTCCAGTGGGAGGGGGCTCCGCGAAATCCTCGGGCAAAAACAGGATATCTAACACTTAAAGGAAACACTGCTGTATGTTCGAGTGGTTGAAGCATCTCCCCCAGAAAGTGCTGCGTCGCTCACATCCCCCCCACCCCCCCCCCAATATCTGGAGACCATCTTGATAGAGGAGCAAGGCGCCCCGCATGCGCGGGCGCGGAGGGGGGTTACGGGGGGGGGGGGAGGGAGTAGCTGCTCGGTTGTGGTGGCGTTTTTTTTTTTTTTCAGTCGGTTGAACCTTCCACGGGTCACATTTCGGTCGGAGATAAAAGGAGCAGCGCTCTATGTACCTTCTCGAAAGGTGGGGGAGGACGCCCTCGTAACCTGACCTGGGTTCTGATCGTTGAGGAGTTCTTCGTCTTGGCCTCGCCTTGCCTTTTGCTCAAACGCCGCCGGCGTACGTACATGTGGTGAATGGTCAGGTGTGAAGAGAACACTCTTCACAACGATGTTACTGCCAGCAGCAGAAGTGCCAACGATGTTAAATACTGCCACCCGTTGGTGCTACCGTCGGTCATGCCGAACCGAGAACGCGGGCCCCCCCTGCTCTCCCAGCATCTAAGACCCAGCAATTGGTTGAACTAAGCTTAGGGCTAGCCTGAAACATAGCATCCCCGAGGATGGCGTCTTAAAAAAAAAAAACGCTTTCCTAGGATGGTAATCACACGTCCCTTGATGTTTGCAGAGTTGATTTTGGAACGCCCTTACCGCGGTTGACATGTACGACCCCCCCCCCCCGGTGGTGCTTGTACGGTTACAACCTATTTTCAACGCCAGGCGGGCATCAGAATGTCGGGAGCAGGGGCGGGGGCGGGGGCGGGGGGAGGGGGGAACTCGACCCAAAGGCCTCGTCTATGCAAGGCGTGGTACCTTGACGCCCCCGAGAATGAGGCCTCTCCGACACTCCTGGCGGAGCTGGGAATCGTGGACTACGCGGTGCACCTGGTGAGTGAGAGGGAAAGAGGGAAAGAGAGAGAGAGATAAAGAGACAGACAGACAGACAGACAGACAGACAGATATGAGAGGCAGTGTTCGTGAGAGATGTGAGGTGTGAGGTGTGGTGCTAGCACGCGCGGGGGTGGGGGCTGCTATGCTATTTTCCCCACTTGTTGTTTGTTGTTTTGTTGTAACTACATTTGAAACCGTTCCGGTCCAACTGACGCGCTGGCCATATTATTTTTTTCCGCCCATGTACGGTGATTCGATCGGTTTGTTGCCTTGGGTATTTAGACTAAATAAGACATGCACAACATGCGTACTCCCCCCCCCAAAAAAAATAAAACACTCTCTTGGTCAATAGGCTACCAAATGAGGCATGCACAACATGAGTACGCATTCCCCTGGTCTCGATGACGCGTGGTTAATGGCCTAACACTTACGGCATCCAAAACATCAGTACGCCCCGCCCCCCCCCCGCCCCCGAACCACTGCCGCTGTTACTGCAGGAGAACGGCAGCCCCGATGTGAACATCCAGCTGTGGAAGCTGGCCCAGGCCCGGCTGGCCATGCACTCCAAGTCCGGCGGCGACGCCATCGACAAGGGTGCGATTCAGATCGGGGATCTGCCGGCCACTGCCTTTACCCATGACGACATGGAGGACCAGGTGTTGGTGCTGTGCTGCTCTTGTTGGTATTCGGGGGCGGGGTTCAATTTGAGATAGGGGGGGGGGTAGGTGATATTCGTTGTATGTTTATTCCATCCTTGCTTCGGCCATGGCACGGCCCACCTTCCTGCTATGTAGCTCTGGTAGAGCCGCGCGCTTGCCCCCCCACTCGATGAGGGCGATGTTCCATCCATCTTGCCCCCCCCAAATCACCCTCTTTTTTCCCGCACCGAGTGCTGACCGTTTACGACACAAGACCCCCCCCGATGGTAGCATCTTGGCTTCTACAGTAACAAATTTGTCTCCAGGTGTGGTATCTAACGTCATCCTATTAATAGTAGTTTTTTGTGTCTTGAGCGCAGTTGACCCCGTAACGATATTTGTTCCCACCGCGTGTGGCTGTTCGTGTGTGTTTTACATCGGGCAGTAGTCTCAATAGAGATCCGTGTCCACTACCCCCTCCCCCCTGCTCCTTCCTCTCGAGGACGCGTGGTGAATGGTCTCACCGCTAAGACACGCAACACGTAAGGGTACCCCCCCCACCCCTCGACACCCTTAGGGTGGGGAGGCCCGTTTCGACTGCTTGGAAGGCATGTACTGCGTGTGGGGCGGGGAGGCCTTCGTGGACGTCCGCGACTGGGTCGACTGCTGGGTGAGGGTGCGCCTCCAGCCGGGGGACGTGGTTCTCATCCCCCCGAACCGTTTCCACCGCGCCACCCCCAAGACCCCCGGCGCGCGCTTGGTGCAAGTGCGCGTCAAGGTGTGTGTGGGTGTGTTGTGTGCGCAAAGGGTTTCCTTCCCTCTCCTTGGCGGGAGTGCTGTTTTAGTCTAGCCTGCTTTTTTTGTTGTTCTTGTGATGTTGCTTTTTTTTGTTCTCATGGTGTTGCTTTGTTTGTTCTCGTGGTTTTGTTTTTTGTTAGGGGGGGGGTTGTGGTTTGTGTTTTTTCGTGATTTTTGTCATGTCGGGTGGCGTCGTGGCTGTCTACCCTGTAACGTGCGTTCAGGTTCTGGCGGATGTCTCCGTTTGTTTTTCGTGTATGTAAATGTTTGCCCCTTCTGGCTTTTTAGACAACAACAACAAATGCATGTAACATAAAACGAGAGTTACCGCCATCGGTGATCGGTGGTCCTGTGGGAACAACCGTACGTCTTGCCGAGAACGCGTGCTCAATTTTGTCCAACCGCTACAAGGCATGCAAAGCATGAGCACCCCCCCCCACACTGAGCTGGGAAAAATACAAGGGAGGTACAGGGAGATGTTTGAGGCATGGAATAGAGAGGAGAGGACGGTAGCTGTACTGGGGAGTAGGAAGTGGTTTGAAAAGGCGGGCAGTGATATCGTTAGGATAGACAGACTAGGGAAGACGTTTTTGAGCCACCTTTGGCAAAGTAGGAAGGACCGATTGGCCATCGGTGATCGGTCCTGTGGGAACAATGCTCCGTCCTCTCGAGGACGCGCGGTCAATGGTCTAACCGCTATGGCATGCAAAACATGAGCAACCCCCCCCCCCCCCCCCCCCCTGGACAAAACCGGGAAGGAAGGGTGAAACTGGAAAAAACAAAACCCCCCCCCAACCCCGGGCCCCGGTTCCCCCGGACCTTGGGGGGAAAACCCCCAGAACCGGGGGGGAACCCGTGCCCGCCA